CCCCATGCCTAGTCTGCCACATTTGTTGAGCCCAAGTATCCCTCTTGGCAGCCCAAGCATTGTTGTCAATGACATTGTCATTTGGTCCATCCACATTTGCAGGGTTTGCCTCCCACTCAGACTCAAGTGGCACAACATCATTAACACCAAAACATAAGAATCTAGTTGTGCAGGATACAACATGCTAGGACAAGCTTCACTTGTGTTTTGTATGGATGAAATGGCTTGTTATACAAGATCTTGAACCTATTCTTCAGAGCCCCAAATGCCCTCTCTACTGTCACCCTCAGAGAAGAATGCCTCAGATTGAACAATTCTCTTGCATTCAGTGGACTCCTAGCACCATACTCCCTTAGATGGTACCTTGTGCCTCTATATGGAGGAAGAAACCTAGGCCTGACAGCATACCCAGCATCTACAAGGAAGAATTTTCCTAGAAAAGAGGAAAGAGGAGTACAATTAGAAATGTTGGACTCATCACAGAAACCTAGCTTGTTATGAAACTAGTGGCACCATCTATTACCTAGGGGTACCCTAAGGCCATCATCCCTTTGCAAAGCGTCAGCAAGTATGAGGACGTCATGAGCAGAGCCTTCCCAACCAGCCAATACATAAGTGAATCTCAGATCGAAATCCACTGCAGCAAGCACATTTTGGGTGGTTGTGTGCTTCGTACCCATGAATGCAGCTCTGTGTTCTTCAGGAACTCGAGCAAGCACATGAGTGCCATCAATGGTACCGACACAGTCCTAAATATATTTGAGATATTAATAAGACTATCCTATCAGATATAAAGGAATACTTGAAGAAAGGATTACAACCTTCAAAAATGGATTCCATTTCCTACTGTGCTGGATTTTTGGATCAACATAAGTGGCTGGAGGGACTATCATCTCAGATCTGAGTTCACCTACTGCATACAGAACCTCCTAGAAATACCTAATGATTGTTTCAGTAGATCTCCTAAAAGTATGTTTTATGACATGAAACCTCTGATTGTGGCCTATCACTAGGAGAAACATGGCTACTTGTTCTTCAATTTGTCTGTTAATGCTGTCCCTTAGCAAACCCCTATTGCGAAACAAGTCGCAGAGCTGGAAAAGAGGGGCCCTTTTCATCCTAAGAAGCTCAACACAGTTACTGTCATCGCTATGGTAGATGATCCTTAGATTGTTTGCCGTCTGTCGATCTCTAGCACTCATTGGACCATAAGAAATGCCTCTCCTACTTCTTGAAATGAGTCTGAATCTAACAAACAGCCAAGCACTGATGACTGCAACCAAGACTGTGCCTCTAATGATTAGCCGGCAACGCCTAATTGAAGGATCCATGAAGCTAACAAGAACATTTTGGGTATGAATTAGTAGAAATTACAACTAGTATGAGACAAACCCTAGGAAAATAGAAGGAACGGCTACGACACCAAGTAGTGCGCCACCTAGATCCGCATGAATCAACGAGCAAACCCTAAAGCTCAGGTAACAAAAAGGATCCAGACCACAACATTAGGGTGGACAAGAAATTAGGGTTCGAAATAGAACATCAATGCAGCAGTATGACTACGACCCTAAGCAAATCAGAGGAAAGACTATGACACCAATGGTGTGCCACCCAGATCCGCATCAATCATCGACCAAACCCTAAAGCTCAGCTAACAAAATGGATCCATACGAACATGAACACAGACTACGCACACAAACATGAACCAGAGAACAACACAAGCCAGAGAAGAGAAGGAGAACGCGTACCCGACCCCGTCCAACTGTACCAGGAAAGCCGCCGGAGTGCACCGCCACCGGCGGAGCACCAGCAAGGACGAAGACTGAAGGGGACGAGCGAGAGAGGAGAGAGCAGCGGCTAAGTGGGAGAAGGCGAGTGAACAGTGGCCGGGAATACCCTAGTCGGGCGGTGAGACTCGGATTATATACAATGGCCAGCGGGAGGCAGTGGGGCCCACAGCGGGGGGAGCGGGCAGAGCTGGGCCGAGCCTGGCTCCAGAAAAACGAGCGCCCCCCTCGTTCTTTCGGGTCCAGGCTAGCCCAGTACAGCTGGCTCCCCCAAGCCAGGCCCTAGGCCCTGAACAGGCAACCAAACAAGCCCAACATGGCTCCATGAAACCAGGCCAGGATTTAGCCAGACAACCAAACAGCCCCTAAGTGGAGTCATTGAGCTCCAGACGCTGTTCCCTACTGATGGCGCCTTGACATCAGTTGACGTGGTTGGCTTCATAGATGGAAGCGATGTCATTTATGTGAGGGCGAACAACAATGTGCTCTTCACGTTTGACCTAAAGACCTGTAAGGTGCAGAAGATTTGCAAGGGTAGAAGAATCAACACCCCTGTTCCTTACATAAGCTTTTTCATTCCAGGTATATCTTTACTTAGTTTTGGTCTTACAATATTTAGAACAAGCAATATTTTAGTTACTATAGCATGAAATTTGCCTGATGTGCTCAGGAGTAATGGGTTTATGAAAGGGCAATATCATAATCTGTTATCAAACTGGGTTGATGCTACCAAAATCTTTTTATATTGAACCATCTATGACACTTGTTAGATTTTCATAGCCAAGGAGTTTATTCATCTGTTATGCTTGCTTTACTGTGATGGTATGGTCTGGAAGATCTGCAGCAGTAGTTGTAAAAAGCCATTACTTTGACGTGTGCCTATCTTTGATCCTGTCCGTCCATTAGCTCTGATCTGTCAATTTGACTTAACGACATCCAAATGGATTCTGATCTGATATCATTGCCTTTTAATGAGTTCATGGAAACGTTGCTTTAACTGCTGTGAATATATAACTACATAATCTACTGCTGTTTGGTTTGTGAGAAACAAGCATGGATCGAGGGAAATTTGATTCCTTAATCATCTAATAATGTCGTTCTCAAAATTTGTATACTTCTGCAGCTTTGGGAGCAGCTTGTACAGTTGAGGGACCAAGTGCAGGTGGCTCAAGTGTATGAAAAACTTGCTCATCTGGGAGCTTCTCGAGCACGGGAAAACTGGGTACCACCGTAGCAATGGGCATCACCTTTTGCGTCAGTGACATTGTTGCTGGCCTTAATTTGTTGCCCATTAGGCTTTGCGTTTCTCTTAAACTTTTTAGCTGGCTCCAGATATATCAGGCTTGTATCTAGATGTTAACCCCTGCATCATCCTATTTGATCTGTTATGTACTCAAGGATTCCTGCCTGTGATGAGAACCTAAAATGTGCTGATTATTGTTTCCTTTTAAGAAAATGTGTAGGCCCAAGAAAATGAGCATTACGAAATCAAAACACTGTGATTTCTTATGCAGTTAGTTCCATGCTGTTCCTACATAAATTTATTGTTTCAACATCTTGTGGTTGGTAATTGATTGGATAACCAGGATTTTTTTTTTTGCGGAAAACCAGGAAGTTGTTATGGCTGTGATATATTTGCTTTTGTGGCCAACATCCACATAAGCCAGATAGTTTGTATATGTGGAAATGTTGAAACCAGGAGACAAAAATGCATGTTCCGTTGTATATATTTACTCAGCAAAGGCACAGATCTGACAAAATCATGAACAGATAAAATTTACATATATTGTAGTTGGGCGCATCTGCTACCAAAGTCCCAGATTTAATAAACTCGGAGAAATTATCCTGCTTGTTCTACCTGATGTTCAGAACTCACAAAATTTTATAGTACAAATTTGGTTCTTGTACAAATAACTCCAGATTCTCTATGTATATGTTTCTTTGGTTCAGCTCATACTAATCTCAGCTTTTATTAGTATTTGATTTCACTTCGTATGTCCAGATGTTCTTCAGTTTATGATGCTGTGCTCGAACAGAACATGTGCACGCAAACTGAAATCATAGCAGTCTAAATTTAACAATTTTCAGATAGAACTTCCAGGTGTATGAGTGGAATCAAATTCAGAGCGTAATTGCTAGGGTATCCTACATGTGTTCAAGAAACTAGACTGAGACTGGTCCTCTTGGATTCTTGGTTCAGAGAAAGAGAAAAACAGAGTCACATATCAGTCGAAAATTCCAAGCAGAGCATGCTGCTGAACATGTAATTAACATTGACTAATAGTACTCAGGAGTCTCGAACAAGCATAAATGCAAACCTGAATCATTGAGCTTGGTCCAGAGCAAACATACTAGATGACCTGGATACTAATTCATTCCTCATCAGAAATCAGTGCCGTTCTGCTATTCGAGTTGCTGTCTCATGGAACAAGGCTGCAGCAGGTTCTAATGGCGAATCATGGTCTGTCTTGCTCTTCAGCATGAGATCAGGTTCTGTTCAGGCTTCCGTTATGACTTGCTGAAGTTATTGTTCTGTTCTTGTTTGGCAGGGACCCACTTCTTTTTGCGTTTTGGTGGGAACGAAGTGTGTGACGCTGAACAGAATCTGCCCAAATTCCCATCAGGGAAATGGCGTTCAGTCTCAGCATACAAGCTTGGGGGCTGCGGTTCAGTTCAGTTTCACCACACCAGACGATGCATCTATTTGCAGTTTCAGCTCGTGAAGGCATGGAATACAAATGAAATCTAAGACATACCACTACCACAACAGAACATAAATCATAGTACTGTTTATATCTCTGCTAAATATGTCTAAAACAAGCAGCAGTAGTAGTGTAGTCTGCTACGCGATCACAACTTTGCTTTTGCTAACTGAAGGAACAAACAGCCGGAGCCCATGATGGAGTGCGTGAGGTGCAGCTATGCAACGGGAACCAAGAACAACGCTGTTGGCATGGGAAGCATGCTGGATTCCGGCGCGGCAGCGACAAAGCCCAGTCCAGCGTACATGGCCCGCGGCTTCTACACTTAGCCTGTTCGCTGGTTAGTTTTTATGTTGATAAGTTCGGCCTGTGCTGATTTGTTGTGAGAGAAAAATATCATAGTATGGCTGATAAGCCCTGACCGAAACAAGAAACGAACAAGTTCAGTATCTCCTCCTCCGTGTCGATGTCATTGCCGCCGCTGCCAGTACTGCTGCTCTCGCCGTCGTCGTCAAGCTGCTGGTCGGCCTGCGGCGGGCGACGCTCCTTGTGCACGTCCCAGCGCTCGACTGATCGGCCACTTGCTGTTGATGACGCTGTCCGCGGAACGAGGGCCTGATGATGATGAGGAGGCGGCTGAGGGTTCTGCGCTGGCCGGCTTGATCTTGCACGCGTCCCACCTCTCGCCGGAGTCGGCGCGGCTGGGCTTGGCGAGCGGCATCGGGACGATGGCGGCGACGCACGGCGTTGGGAGCAGCGGCAGCATCTTCCACTTGGGCGGGGTTGGGAGCAGCGCTGGGAGAGCCGCGTGTGCCATGGCGAGATGCACGCGGGCGACCGGGATCGCCATGGATCGAAGATCCCACACCAGAAGGCAAAGGGCCGTCAAGGCGAGTTGATGAAACAGAAACAGAGAGGCGACGATCGGTGAGATGTGAGATGATTTCCGGTAGCAGCGCGCAGCAGAAATTTTATAGGCCCCAGGAGGGATGCCTGGCAATTCGGTCGATTCCGCAAGTGCTCGTCAGGGTGAATCGGTGTCGGAGTCCGAATTCATCCGGCGACGAGACGCGTGGGGCTATAGGAGAAGAGGCAAGTAGAAACGATCGGAGCCAGTGCGCGTCAGATGAACGCCAAGTCATCCAGTGGCTGCACTCTCGGACTCCGGGCTTCGTTGCCCTCTCGATCTTCGATGTCGGTTGGAATCGGACTGCGAACGACTTGGTCGTCTACTCTGGTAGAACGCCCCGGCGCTTCAGCTCTGGTACGGTGTCTCTTCTTCGTTTGATCCATGGCGATACCCGTTGCGCGCGTACGTGCACCTTGCCATGGGGCACGCAGCCTGGCCTTCCCGGGCTGCTTCCCACCCAGCCCAAGTGCACGATGATCCGGTCGCTTGCTCCCGGCGCCGCTGTAAGTGCAGCGTCATCCTCATCCTTCCCAGTTCACCTCCCAAGCCCCAGCCGCGCTGACGCTGTCGAGAGGTGGGACGAGCACAAGATCAATGCAGGCGGCATCGTCGTCGTGGTGGTGGTCAGGTGGCCAGCGTCCGCCCATGGAGGCATGGACACCGAGAGCGGCGGCCCAGGGCGCACGTCGTCGTGCGCGAGGTGGGACAGCAACAGGACGTTCTCCTCGGCGGTGTACAGATACAGACCCGATAGCCGAGGGCCGTCGGTAGCCGGGCTTCGCCGCGACGCCGTCGACCGACGCGGCGCTCGCCGACCTCCACTCCACGATGCGTCTCTTGATGTCTCTGACCTCAGCGCCCATGTAAGCCTCCCCTACCCATGCCGAAGCAGTGTAAATTACTGTAAAGCCTCTATAAATTTTTAGGTAAAGTTCTATAGTATAAGAGAGGCTGAGATTTAAGATCGAGCAGCAGTGTTGTTCAGCCCCCCTAAAATATTTCCTGGATCCGCCGCTGACTATAGCCGGAGAACAAGGGAGGCCTATCATGACGCGTCCTCTGCTCATATAAGGTAGTCACTAGTCAGAGAACAACGCGATGAAACCACGCGGAGAACCGGAGGACACGTACGACATCGCCACAGACGCACTTGGAACTCTGAAACAAAAGAACCACCACAGAGACAGAGGCAGGGAATAGTGGCGAATCTAGAATTTTACCTCGGGTATGCCGTCAAAAAAATTTCTATATAATTCAGCAAATCATTTAGCAATTTGGTAACGGTACTAAAATTGGCAACGTAATTCGATAATAATAGTTAAATTTGGAACATAATTTGATAATAGTAATTCAGTAGCAGTGGTAAAACTTGCAACGTAGGGATGACTCAATGTCGTTAGCAATGAAAGTAGACAAGATTTTTCTACATGAAAAAGAAGAGAAAAGGGCAAAGACTGAATTACGTCTTAGTGTCTCAGACAGTCGCCTTTGCTGGTTAGCCATGCACGCGCAGCTAGCAGGCAACAACCGAGCTCCCTAGCTTCAAACTTGCGGTAGATGAATGGATGAGGGCAGATGGTGCGTTGGATCATAGAAGCCAAGGCGTCACCGCATTAGTTGTCAGGACTTGCCAAGGTGTCACCATAACAGGACCTGGGATCCTGGATCTCCCATCCGTGTGACTCTAGGCGCATGGCCATGGACCCTGGAGAAAAGCAGCAAAGCTGCAAAGGCCATCTTGGCAAAGCTAGGTTGCTAGCGTGGCGTTCGTTTTCAGTTCTCTAGCCTACAGGTAATTGTTCTTTTTTTCAAATATAGTATATATACTCCGATACATGCTGGATCTGCAGGGTATGCCAGTGCATACCTGGCATACCCTGTAGCTCCGCCCCTGACAGGGAACATGATTCTACTCCCTCTGTTTCCTTCCATTTTAATTCATATATATAGTTCGCTTTAATTTTCTGCTAAGCTATTTTTTTTCTAATTCTATTCAAAATTTAGAAAGATATATTAACATCTACTCGGTATTAGTTCCAATAAATATATTATCAACATATATTTTACACAAGACTTAATAAATGTAATTCATAACAGGAATGCTAAACACGTTTTAGCACCCATAAACACACGATTTTTTCCGTATTTCTGACATAGGCTCCGACCGACTCCTCCCCACTGCGCTCCCGTCCTCCCCTCCGCGTGCTCTCTCTCTCACCGGTGACAGGACCGGCGAGCTCCTCCCGGTGCTCGCGCCCCCTCGCGCCCAGGCGATGGCGCCGCGTGTAGCCCCCGGCCAGACCGGCCTCTGTCGCAGCCACCAGGCTGGACCTCCGCCGCCGCCCTCAGGCCGGATGTAAGGTCCTTGTTTGGTTTTGGTAATTGAGTGACAACCTAGGTGGACTAATTGTGTTTATGTGAGATACACAGGTGATTAGTCCACAGATACATGTGTGTGAGCAACATATGCCATGAAGATGACAATGGCTTGGAGATGTTGCAAAGCTCACACATGTGATGATGAAGGAGCTTATTGCAAATGAGACATGACATTGAGTCATGTGATCAAGGTGGAGAAGATCAAGACAAGACTTGGCTTGATGGACCGGTTGCAAGCGTGAAGGGCAAGTCGGAGGCTTTGGAGTGATGGACCGCGTGGCGGTGAAGCTTAAGCAAGACTTGGCGTCGATGGACGATGGCAATGGTGAAGAGCAAGTGGAGTTAAGATCGATGAACCAATATGATCATGTGATGATATGAAGTGGATCATATCATTGTTGATCGTGTTGGTGCATGTGTTGCATCGACATTGGAGGAGATGGAATGGAATGCGCAAGGCAAAGGTATAACCTAGGGCATTTCATTTCACCGGTCATAGGTGTGTAGAGAAGTTTATGACCGGATTTAGGATAGATGGTCGTACTATCAAGAGGGGCAAACTTGTTTGCATATCGGTCATCTAGTGCCACTCGAGTGATCTAACTTTGCATTGTTGCTAGGATCGAGTGGCGTGGCAAGTTGAGTGGCTAATCCTTTGGAAAATGATTGTGAAAATGCTAACACACATACACATGGTGGTGTACACTTGGTGGGGTTGGCACATTTACAAAGGAGATGAAGTTGGAGTTGATGTGGATCAACTCGGTGAAGAAATGGAGGCGAAAGGAGAAACTCCACCGGCGGAGTGTGCACCCGTAGAGTGCGGACAGTCCGACGGTGCCACTGGCGCCCTATATAGAAAAAACAGGGTCTCACAGAGTGGACCGGACGCTGGTCACGTAGTGACCGGACACTGGGGTCCTGCGTCCGGTCAGAGCTGACGTATGGTGACGTAGGCAGAGCAGAAGCTGGAGAGTGACCGGATGCTGGTGATGCGTCCGATCGCGATCGATCGGACGCGTCCGGCCGTGAAATGTCGTTTCTGGAACCTTACTGGAAACGACCGGACGCTGGGGTTGCTGCGTCCGGTCAGTTCATGCTGGAGCGTCCGGTCGACAGATGACCGTTGAGATCCAGTGAACAGCGTTTGAAGGAGGGGACACGTGGCGTGCATCGCACGACCGGACGCTGAGGTCCAGCGTCCGATCGATCGGACCGGAGCGTCCGGTCGTCCCGACATTTGCCCAGTGAAAGGGTAACGGCTAGTTTAGCCCTTGGGGCTATAAATAGAAGTGGCCCTCGGCCATGGCGAGAGCTGAGCACACTAGAGCCTTGGTGGCTTGTGTAGTAGTGCTTGGGAGCCCTCCATCTCACACATACTTGATAGTGATTATCCGATTGTGAGTGAGCGATTCTAGTGCGATTGCATCATGAAGTTGCATTGAGTGGCACTAGGTGATCGAGTTGCAAGCCGGTGGTGCTTGTTACTCTTGGAGGTTGCCACCTCCTAGACGGCTTGGTGGTGGTCTCCGTCGAAGCGCGCAAGAAGCTTGTGTGGCGCTCCGGAGAAGTGCTTTATGAGGGGCATTGTGCTCGCCCCACGGGAGCCACGAAGAGCAACTCTAGTAAAGCGTGTCATTGAGTTACCCTCACTCAAGGGGTAGGTTCTTGCGGCGCCCAACGTGCGGGCTTAGCAAGTGATGCTAATTAGCCGCCGAACCACCAAGTGAGCGGTCGACACAACGGGGACTAGCGTGTTGGCAAACACGTGAACCTCGGGAGAAAAATCATCGTGTCAACCTTGTTCTTCCCGTTGGTTTGCTTCCCATTACACAAGCTTGCATTTACTTTCATATATATTAAGTTTGTGTAGTTGTTCTTGTAATTAGATAGCTTGTGTAGCTTGCTAATTACCTTCTTGCTTGTGTAGCATAGAAGTAGCTCCCTTGCGTGGCTAATTTGGTTTTAGTAACCTTGTTAGTCACATTGCTTAGTTTGTGTAGCTAAGTACTTGCGCTCTCTAATTAGGCATTGGTTGCCTAGTTATTGAGCATTGCTAGTGAGCATAGTTAGCTTTGTGCTTTTGCTTACTAGCATGTGTAGGAGCTCTGTTGTTGCTTAAAATACTAGTGGCATAGGTTTGTGTAACCTTCCTCTTAGAATTGTTTACGAGACCTCTAGCTAGCCCGGCACCTTTGTTGCATAATTGGTATCTTAGCAAGGTGCTAGTGAACATATATAGAGGGGTGTAGTGTTAGACCGATTGTTTTAATTCCGCATTTGTATCGGTTAGCCGACGCGATTAATTTTAGAAAAGACTATTCACCCCCCTCTAGTCCGCCATCTCGACCCTTACACCGGACCTCCGCTGCCGCCTCCGCCGCCCCCAAGCCGGACCTTCGCCGCCGCCCCCGCGGCACGGCCGTGCCCGCTCCGCCACAATTTGTTGCTTGTGATATGTACCGACACAGCCATGATTTGTCCTTGTCCTTTTATAGAAAAAAATTGTTTCTCGTGATCTGTGATCTGTGCTAACGAAGAAGATGAACAATACCGCAGGC